AAAAAAAAACACAAAAAATAAAATGTGACCATCAGATGACACAGTAAGAGATGGTCCAGGAAGAAGCTGTAAAGAAAAGAGGGAACATTAGCATTTAAGGTGCAGACAGAGAAAGAAAAGCTCTTAGACAACAGAAGACTATGGTTCATGGTATTTTTTTAAAGCAAGCAAATGTGATCAAAACAACTGAAGTCACACCGAGTCCTCGCCCTGTGCCAGGCATTATTCTTAATCCTTTATCTGCAGTAACTCATTTCCCACAGAAACCCTCAGTCATCTGGGCAGATGCTCCTGGTGCCCTCCCACTGCCTGCGTCCGCCCGAGGGCTCTGCCCAGAGTACGGCTGGCTGGAGGTACCAAGGATTTTAAAAAATATATATTTTATTATTAACTTCAGAGACGGAGGGAGAGGGAGAAACATCCATGATGAGAGAGACTCATGGATCGGCTGCCTCCTGCATGCCCCACACTGGGGATGGAGCTGCAACCTGGGCCTGTGCCCTGACCAGGAATCAAACCTGACCTCCTGGTTCCTAGGTGGACGCTCAACCACTGAGCCAGGCCAGCTGGAAGTACCAAGGATTTGAACAACTCCATGAGCAGCCCTCAACCAAAGACTGTGGCTTGTGGGTGTATAAGTACCCCGGCTCCCTCACTGCCATATGGAGATGACGATCTGGCTTATGTTCTACACAGTTTTCCAGAGTTCCCAGTGGGAACAGGCCAGAGCGACCCAAAGTTCTAACTTGCTGAATAATCCACCCTTTCATGCCTTCCCTGTGTAGACTCGCTTCCCTACTCCACTGCCCATGTTTTCCTCCACCTTCCAGATAAACTACTTGCTCTTAAACCCTCACAGTCAGCTTCCATAGGAATTCAAGCTAAGATATAAATGAAGACCAGAGAAAATCTGAAAACAATTAGAGGAATATAAGCGTCTAAATGTACATAAAAAAACGATCACTAAGATGTAATGGTTGGTAACCACCAACTTGCCAGGGTTGACAAGAATGTGTATTTAAACTCACACTAAATCTTTTAAGAAGCAAAACTCTTCCAGGATCATAAACAACACTCAGGGTTTTCTCGCCTTTACCAGGTGTCGAAGCCTCCCCCCTTTTATTCTAGAAGAAAACACGATCCAAATGTCTCCTGAAAAAAATATGAGCTTAAAAGGAGCCCAAGTTTGCTTTTCTAAATCCTCTGGACTCAAACTTAGACACAGCTGTTGCCTGATTTTAGGGGGATCCTAGCTCTTTCCATTTGCAAATCTGAGCTCACTATGAAATACAATTTTATAAACTACATTTTAAGAGAACATAATAAAGACAAAAATATGTTAAAATGATCTCTTCGCATACCTCTCTCAACGCTGCTTTTCTAATCACTGAAGAGTAGAAATCCTACCAATACGTTTTGTTTTGTGTTGATTATACTATTCAAGCTTATGAAACTTTTCCTATGTTGCCATTTTTAAAATGTGTCAGAATATACCACCAAGCAACCAAAAAAAAGGTCAAATAAAACCCCTGTATTGAATTTCTAAAACTATGACAATTTAGCAGGATAAAGGACCAAGTGCGAAGAAAAGGGGGGAATTAGTGAAATGGCCACTGAGAATTTGTTGGTACTCCTTGATTATTTCTGTCAGTGGCCATTTATTTGCTTAAAACAGCTTTTGTTACTCACAGTTATAACATTTCGTAAGTATGGCGTTTTGTACAAGGGAACCTGGTTCAGTCAACATTTCCAATTATCAGCCACGTTGTGGGCCTTATTAAATAAATACTCTTGACAATATATAAACAAAAGACATTGAAGCATGTAACAGAGGGAAGGGGGGAGTGGGAAGAGATTAACCAATGAACTTACATGCATATATATATATATAACACATGGACAGATAATGGTGGGGGGGGGGACACCTGGGGAGGAGGGGGAGTTGGGTGGAGGGTGTCAGTGGGGGGAGGGAGAGGGACATCTATAATAGTTTCAACAATAAAGATACATTTTTGAAAAGTTTTTCCCACTGACCCCCTCCACCCCACACCTGCCCCTGAAAAATGTTCTATATTTGCTTGTTGCTTCCACCTGATTCGGGTAAAATGTGCAGTCAAGATATTTGGGAAAATTGCTATTTACCTCTAAACGTTGCTAAGAAAGCTGCCCCTGCTGTCCTCCATGACGATGCATACGTATAAGAACATGAAGAAGCTATTTGGGGCCTGGAAGACAGACTCTGCATCTTGAGGTAAAAGCTGTTTACCTGGAGACAAAGTCTTGCCATTGCATTGGAATCAGTGTTACAGCATACACAGAGCAACAATATTCATTTATTTGAGGCCTATTTGATACTAAAACTCTGGACTTTTCTTTTTCTTCCATCCAATGAAACTACATGTAATGTTTAAATTTCTATTTTCATAGAGAGTCACTGGCAAGCTCATTTGGTATTGTTTTAAAGGCCACTTTAATATGGTTTGGCTCATATATACCATATTTGCATTAAGATAATTGGATAAAACAGCATGGAAACTGTAATAACCACCATTACAAAAGAAACAGTAAGTGCTAACATATATTCAATGCCTGCTGTGTGCCAGGCATTCTTTTTTAAAAATCTATTTTTATTGGTGTCAGAGAGGAAGGGAGAGATAGAAACCTCAATGATGAGAGATAATCATTGATCGGTTGACTCCTGCATGCCCCACACTGGTCATGTGCCCTGACTGGGAATCAAACGGTGATCTCCTGGTTCATAGGTCAACGCTCAACCACTGAGCCACACCAGCTGGGCTGCCAGGTATTCTTCAGACATACTATCTCATTTTAGTCTTATAACACATCTATGAGGTGAGTCTCATTATTGTCCCTATCTATACTAATAAAAGGGTAATATGCTAATTAGACCAGACATCTTCCAGATGTTTTCTGGACATCCTTCTGGACAAAGCCATGGTGGTGGGGGCTCAGGCAGAGCCCAATTGTGAGAGCAATGTCTGACTGCTGGTTTAGGCCCAAAACCAGCAGTCAGACATCCCCCAAGGGGTCCCATATTAGAGAGGGTGCAGGCCAGGCTGAGGGACCCTCCCCCCATGCATGAATTTCATGCACCGGGCCTCTAGTTTTAGAGATAAGAAAACTGACACAGAGAGCTAAAGGACTTGCCCAAGGTCAAACTATGAGGGGTAGCAGAGCAGAGTTCAAACTCAGCACCTAGACAAGCTGTTGGAGCTAGTTTGTAGTTAGCCCTACCTGAGCCGGCACAAATCAGTTGTCTTAAGCAACTGCCAAACACATGAGAGCCCAAACCTAGATTTGTGTCTATACTTGTCCAGAGATGTTCTTAACTAATAACCTTTGTTTTACTTTCCAAGTGGCTTTACTTGTGTCAGCTTTGAAGTCAACTTCACGCCAGAGGAATCATTCACTCTGAGAACTGAGTCTAGGGGCCTGGGGTCATTTGCCAAATTCAGAGGATGCTAGAGGTTGGCTGAGGGGACTCTGGAAAGGACCGGGCTGTATAATAACTTATTGGCCCCAGTCTTGCCTCATTCTTCTAGTCCCATCTTCTTCTACAGCCCTCATCTACCACCGTACTAGGCTGAATAACGTCACCCAAAGATATATCAGGTCCCAATCCCTAGGACCTGTGACCTTATTTTTTTTAAAAAGGGCCTTTGCGAGTGTAATTAAGTTAAGAACTGTGGCATTAAGAGATTATCCTATTATTCAGGTGGGTCCTAAATGCTATCACATTTATTCTTAAAAGAGGGAGGGGCAGAGGGAGATTTCACACACACACACACACACACACACACACACACACAGGACTGTGAGGATTGAGGCAGAAATTGTAGGGATGTGGTCATTAGCCAAAGAATGCCTGCAGCTCTAGAAGCTGGAAGAGATAAGCGGTGGATCCATCCCTAGAGCCCCTCAGAGAAGTGTGGCCCTGCCAACACCTTGACTTTGGCCCCGTGATACTGATTTCAGACGTCTGGCCTCCAGGACTGAGAGAACAAATGTGTGTCCTTTTAAGCCATCCAGTTTGTGGTCATTTGTTATGGCAGATGCGGGACACTAAAATACATAACCATTAACCCCTGCCGAGACCTTATGTTCCCGCTTTGAAGAAGAAACTGAAGTGCATCTCAGTGAGTGGTTTAGCAGGCCAATGGGTGTCTGGACTATAATTCAGCATTTCCCTCGGTGACTAACATCAGCACAGAACATCACTGGTGTGCGTCAGGAGGCGCCTCCTAAGCCACGTGTCCCTCTTTAGCTCTCGCCTGCTGCTGTTGCTTCTGCCCTGGGTCACCCCACCTGCGCAAGCATCCCAAGACCTTAGAGTCGCTATGCTCTTCTAATGAAGGGGACATGCCATATTTCAAATGTCCCTGAGGCGGTGCATGGAGAGGTCAATGATGTGTGGTGGAACTCTGCACTTTCTGCCTTAGGCTCACGTAACAAATGAACATTGGTTCCATGCCTCTGGCTGCTTGGCACCTCTACATACCCTCCCTATGTTAGGAGAATTTGTACATTTGCCTCCAGGGACAGAAGGTAGAAACTACGTGGCTCAGTGGTTGAGCGTCTACCTATGAACCAGGAGGTCATGGTTCCATTACCGGTCAGGCACATGCCTGGGTTGAGGGCTCCAACCCCAGTAGGAGGCATGCAGAAGGCAGCTGATCAATAATTCTCTCACATCCTTGATGTTTCCCTCTCCCTCTCTGAAATAAATATATATATATCCTATATAATAAAAACCTAATATGCAAATTGACCGAGTGGCAGAATGACCACTTGCTCAATGGCGACCCCCAATCGCCCCGCCGGTTGCCCTGAAGAGGGAGGCGACCCCACAGATCGGCCCTGATTGCCAGCCAGGCCTAGGAACCCAACCCATGCACAAATTTCGTGCACCAGGCCTCTAGTGTGTGTGTGTGTGTGTGTGTATACACACATATGGTAGAAACTTATTTTCTCAGCCTTACCTGCAGCCAGGGAGTAGGGATGCAATGATGCACTCACAGAAGAGTTTGATTTGGACCAGTCAAGGCACAGGCACAGGCACAGCACGGAATCCATCCCAGTGAGGACGTGGAAACTTCCAGGCTTCAGGAGCGCAGTGGCCATGGTCCCAGGGGAGCACCCTAGACTCAGCTCTGGCGTGCAGTGGGAGCGGTCTAATGGCCCAGTTCGGGCTTACAAGCCTGATTCTCTCACAATCCTAGAGTTTCTGGGATCCTACTTCCCTCAATCCCAATCAAAATGGATGTTGTTTGCAACCAAGAATCTGCCTGATGCGCCTGCCACGTGGCTCTGTGTCACCGGCTCGCTGCGTGGTTGCTTCAGGAAGACGACGGGCCTGGCAGGCAGTCCGTGGGGCCTGGTTACCCTGACACCTACTTCTTGTAACCAAGCTCTCTGTAGCCTATCGGCGGTAAATGGTAGCCTCAGGCAGACAGGTATCTGGAATTTTGTTAGCCGGTTGCAGCAGTGAGCTCAGAAGTGTGTGCTGGCCCTGCCGTTCACGTGGTGGCCCAGCTGAGCGCACTGGAGAAAATGAGAGGCTCACTCTAGTCAGCAGCCCACGCAAAGGGGGCAGGATTCCTCCCAACGAGCCATAGGATGGCATCGGGGAGGTGGAGTTCTGCAGCTGAACTTATGAAGACCTAATGAGATGAAAACTCCTCAAGGGCAGAACCTCATGACCTTCTCTGGCTCCCTGGTCTAATTAATAAAAGAATTGACTGATGCTCACGAAATAGATTGCCAAACCTACTAATTTAGGGTGGTCTCAAACCATAGTCCAGTGGTTCTCAACCTTCTGGCCCTTTAAATACAGTTCCTCATGTTGTGACCCAACCATAAAATTATTTTTGTTGCTACTTCATCATTGTCATGTTGCTACTGTTATGAATTGTAATATAAATATCTGATATGCAGGATGGTCTGAGGCGACCCCTGTGAAAGGGTCGTTCGACCCCCAAAGTGGTTGCGACCCACAGGTTGAGAACCGCTATTCTATACTCTCAGTGGAATGTGACCTTTTCCTGAAACCAGGACCCCAGGGACAACCCATCAGACTTCCTTTCACCCTCACACAGACCTGAATATACCACCTGATGGCAAAGAGGTTGTGTAAGGACCAACTTTTAATTAGTGATCCATTCACCATTAGTGGTTACAGTCAAAAATATACTTGAAAACATGTCTCAGGGCTTATCTCAAGATCAAATATTTGGCACTTGTCATCTGTGTTTAGAACCCTGAAGAACTCAAATGGAGGGCATTCTGGTGCATGGGAATCATCGGTTTCACACGATTTGTGGTTTGCTTAGTTCCTCATTTTCCTCTCAATGTACATATCCATATAATTACATAAATTATAGAATAAGTATAGTTGGAATTCCATCCTTATACAAAGTTTCCACCATGTGTGATAAATACGGTATCTTTAGGAAGATCTCATTTCAATGGACTTCTTTCCTAGGTTAAAAACCGTACACTTTTTCAATTTGTTTCATCAATCTGGGCCTTTATTTTCCAAGTTTCTAACAAAAGAAGAGTTAAATGCTTATTCCTACGAGATGGTGTTTTAGTTTTTACGTTCTGGGAATTCTATTAGCTTTAGCCCAGAATCACCTGGCTGGTAGTTTAAACATCAGTTCACTGCAAATAGGTCTGAATTTCCATCCATTTCCTACTATACGGATGCCATTCCCATTCTTGCTTGCGAGCCTTATTGTGGTGCCCCCCAGCCCCATCCTGAACAATTAGACTGGCTTGTAGGTAGTGACTTCCACGATAAAGCAACGTGTCATTCCAGCAGCGAGGCGCTGGGTTTCTTTATTAGCTGGGAAGCTAAGAACATTACAGTGCACAGGGTGCATATAATAAGAGCTGCGTGGGGGCCTGTTAACGTGGCAGGGCCACGCGCAAGTGCAGTGAATTATTGCTCCTGTCAGCCATTTGAAACTAACTGCAGCCACAGAGAAGGGCATCACCCTTTAACCCCATTTGGTTAGGATATTGACTTCTCTCCCCCATCTTCAGGCACCATTGTACCTTTTAGAATAGTGACGTTCAAGCGTTTCTGAGGGCAGCTCAAATACACTGTACATCTCTCACACCGAGAGAAATATAAAACGGCTTAACAAAACCATATTTACTCTCACTACTGTGCTGATCATTTCTACTCTGGTCTAATTAATAAAAGAATTGCCTGATGCTATCACTAAATAGATTGCCAAACCTACTAATTTAGGGTGGTCTCAAACCACAGTCCAAAGAACACAATTTCAGAAACTATTCCTCAGATATTCAAATAATAAACTGGAAACATCTTTATTTCTTCAACTCTTTTTGCTACTCTGAGATTTACTTCCATATTTCTAAATAATATGAATATACTCCTATTTCTCTTTTTGGCCTTTCAAATGAATAATCCACTTGCTTCTTATGGAAAGTGAACCTTTAGCTCCCTTCCACGCTCCTTCTTCAAATATACACATATTTCCCCTCGTTAGCTCCCAATATCTCGTGTACTTTTTAAGTCAACATCCATGTTTATATTATCGTGGTTGTATGTAGCAGTTAGGGTCCTAGCACACGCCAATTGGGTGATTTGAGAAGAGTTTAATAAGGGACCATTTGTAAACATGGGCGGGGTGTA